AAAAAAATTAAATTTGATACATGAATTAGTTTATTTAATACTCATGCATTTATTTAAATCATGTATCCAAATGATTCTTTGTATCATATTATTCATAGTATGTAGGAAAAGTCATTAATTAGTCTATTAAGTTCATACAATGTATTTAGGATCCTTTGTACCTATAAAAGGCCTTGTGTTTGAGACATTTTATAAAGCCAAGCCATGGAATACAAATCTTTGGGTGATAGTAGGATAAATCTTTGGGTGATAGTACATAGACATCGATCGTGTCATGCGTCTAGTTTGTAGTTTTTGGGACACAGTGTGCAGGCCATGTCCGGGACATGTCCTGGCTGCGCCAGGGATGCAACCTGATTTTCAAGAATTTTTAGGCAGTTTGTGGGCACCGTTTGTAAGCCATGTCTGGGACCCGTCCTAGCCGCGGTAGGGACACAACCTTATTTTTAGGCATTTCTAGGCAATTTGTGGGCACAGTATGCAAGCAATGTTCGGGACGCTTCCCGGCCACGTTAGGGACGCAAGCATATTTTCAACCAAATGAAGGAAGCACAGTGTGTAGGTCATGTCAAGGGCGCAAGCACGTTCGCAAGCATTCTGGGCAGTTTCTGGGACATGGTGTACATGCCATATTCAGGATAAGTCATGGTCACGACTGGGACGCAACCTGATTTTCAGGCGTTTTTGGACAGTTCTAGGCATTGTGTTCAGGCCATGTCCAGGATGTAGCCTGATTTTCAGGCATTTTAAGGTAGTTTCTAGGTTACGGTGTGTAGGCCATGTCCAGGACGTGTCCGAGCCACATGAGGGATAGAGCCTAATTTTCAAGCATTTCTGGGCAGTTTTTTGGGACGATGTACAAGCCATGTCCGGGAAGCGTCCTAATCGCGGTAGAAATGCAACCTGATTTCCAGGCATATCTAGACAGTTTTTGGGACATGTTGTGCAGGCAATGTCCAGGATACTGCAGGGATGCCGCCTAATTTTTAGGCATTTATGGGCAGTTTTTGGGCACTATGTGCTGCCCATGTTCGGGATGCTTCTTGTCGTGACAGGGATGTAGCCTGATTTTCAATCATTTCTAGGCAGTTTTTAGGTCACAGTGTGCTGGCCATGTCCCGGATGCTACAGGGACACATCCTAATTTTCACGTATTTCTATACATTTTCTTGGACACGGTGTGCAGGCAATGTTCGAGAGGTGTCAGGGCTACTGCAGGGATGCAGCCTGATCTCCAAGCATTTGTGGGTAGTTTCTGGGACACGGTGTACGGGCCATGTCCAGGATGTAGCAGGGACGCAGCCTGACTTTCAAACATTCTAGGTAGTTTCTGGGATATGGTGTGAAGGCCACGTCCGGGATGCAATCTGGCCACGGTGGGGTCGCAGCCTAATTTTCAAGCATTTTTGAGAAGTTTTTGGGCACGGTGTGCAAGCCTTGTCCTAGACGCAGCCAGATTTTCAGGCATTTCTCGTTAGTTTCTGGGTCATGGTGTGCAGGTCATGTCAAGGATGCGTTAGGGCCACGGCAGGGATGGAGCTTGATTTTCAGGTAATTTTGGGTAGTTTCTGGGGATGGTGTGCAGGCCATGTCCGGGATGCCTCTTGGCCAGGTAGGGACGCAGCCTGATTTTCAGGTATTTCTAGGCAGTTTGTGGACACGGTGTGTTGGTCGAGTTTAGGACGCATCCTGGCCGCGACAGAGATGCAGCTTGATTTTTAGGCATTTCTAGACAATTTTTGGGACTTGGTGTGCAGGCCGAGTCTTGGACGCGTCATGGCCATGGTAGGGACGCAGTCTAATTTTCAGGCATTTCTAGGCAGATTCTAGGTCATAGGGTTTAGGGTTTTTCTTCAATTAATTTTGAATTAAAAGTAGGAAATATAGACATGACAAAGAATAATAAAAATAAAATGTAGCTCAATGTTACAACCAAGAATAATAAAATTAGTCTACACAATGAAACCAAACTTCCCACCATCACAGTGACACAAAAAAAATCCCACCGCCGCCTTTAGACCAGTACCACCGTTAATCGGGGCAAGCCCCAGTGCATGGTAGTGGTGACGGTGATGATGAGGAGAAGGTGCATGCATTGTAGATTGGTGGCTGGAGCCATGTTTATTGGACAGAACCATAACCTCAAGCTTTTGACCCTTCTAGCAATGTTCTTCAGCTCCACTGATGAAGAAAAATAGACCTGATTTTTCTAGTGAAATTGTAGTTTCTCCATTATGGTGTGATTTTATTGGATTGGCGTTGTTGCAGATTTTGTAGTTTCCTCGGTCACTTCCAGCACTGAATCAGTCCTCGAATCATACTTTAGAACTAAAGAATCCCCAATCTGAAAAATGAGTTTTCTCAGCCCATTTGTTGAACTCGTCAACAGAAAATGAAACTGCCAATAAATTATTTTCACCATTTACTACAAACTCTCTTGCTTCAGAACGAACACACAACAAAAACACGACGGTCGAAAATAAAAAAAATAATTTTCAGTGAAGCCATTTTAACACGGTGTGCAGGCAATGTTCGGGACACGGCAAGGATGCAACCTGATTTCCAGGCATTTCTAGGCAATTTCTTTGACACAGTGTGCAGGCCATGTCAGGCGCGTCAGGTACGCAGCCTGATTTTAAGGCATTTCTAGGTAGTTTCTGGAACACGGTGTGTAGGCCATGATCGGGATGCGCTTGGGCCACGACAACGACATATCCTGATTTTCAGGCATCTTTGGCAAGTTTTTGGCCACAGTGTACAGGCCACGTCCGGGACGCCTCCTAGCCGCGGTAGGGACACAGTCAGATTTTCTAGCATTTGTAGGCAATTTGTGGGCATGGTGTGCCGGCCATGTCGGGGACGCGTTTTGGCCATGATAGGGACGTAGCTTGATTTTCAGGCATTTCTTGGCAAATTTTAGGACTCGGTGTGCAGTCCATGTCCGGGACGCGTCAAGGCTACGGCAGGGACGAAGCCTGATTTTCAAGCAATTTTAGGCAGTTTCTAGGATACCGTGTGCAAGCCTTGTCTAGGATGTGACAAGGATGTATCCTGACTTTTAGGTATTTCTAGGCAGTTTTCAGAACACGGTGTGCAGGCGATGTCCGGGACGCGTCTAGGCCCCGGAAGGGATGCAGCCTGGTTTTCAGGCATTTCTAGGCAATTTCAGGGACACGGTGTGCAGGCCATGTCCAGAATGTTGCAGGGACAGATCTTGATTTTCACGTATTTCTACGCAATGTCATAGATACAGTGTACAGGCAATGTCCAGGACGCGTCGGGGCTACTGCATGGATGTAGCCTGATATTCGGGCATTTGTAGGTAGTTTCTGGGACACGGTGTGTAGGCCATGTCCAGGACGCGTCATGGACACGGTGTGCAGGCAATGGGCCTTCAAAATTAAATACCATTCTTATAGCACCTTACAAGTTTGTGAGGCTTGACTTATTGCTAAAGGATTTATACAAACTAGAGGGATCAAAATTGAGGACTTCATCATATGACTGTCTATACTTGAAGTATTAGTGCTAGAGTTTGCATGTTGCTGTTAACCTAATGTACCACGAATGAACAAAATACATTGAGTTGGATTACCACATAGTACAAGAAAAAAAATTAATGTGGGGAAATTGAGATAATGTACAATGAAATGGGACAACAAATAGGTGGTTATTTACTAAATCACTAGAATAAGTTGTTTTTCATTGACAACTTAGAAAATTTTGAGTTCTTGACATTCACACTCCAACTTTAGGGAAGTATTGAAGGAAAGGAAATCACTTTATATTATGATCAAGGAATATATGCATAGTGCATAGCTGTGGTTTTGAATAATTGTGTGCAAGACATCTAGCAATTATGTCTAAAAGTAATTATAAGAATTCTTGTTATAATTGGCAATTTGTGAGAGAACACTTACTTTAAAAGCTACTGTTAACAAAAATACTTTTCTAGTAGAAGAGTGTTACGTGTCGTTTTGACTCGACTGCTGAGAAACCTGAACATAAAAATATAATAGATTATTAATGTATTATTGGATGATAGCAAAAAAGTCATAATAATTAACAACATCATCGCTGAGACATACAATAAACTCTCAACAAATTCAAGAAATGAATTAGCATTCCCATGACTATTTATAGATTTTTTCTTTTTTTCTTTAAATATTTAGCTAAAAATTTACGTAAAACTAACTTCTTCTGCGTGCAAAAAATAAAGTCTAGCCAAACAATAATTTTTTTTAACTAAAACATAAAATGGAAAATAGATACTTACTGTGTTGAAAAGCAATGACAATAGTTGAAATCCCAGTAGGAAATGTGTCCTCATTTCTTACCCAATGGCTGGTGAATCAATGCTTCTTCTTGAGCTGGAAATATAATATCATTTCAAGTTAATTTGAATGTTATATTTTATACAACATTTAAAAAATAGAATGCGAATATATTTTACTGAATAAAAAAATCCATGAAATAAATTTTCATAATTTTAAATCAAATGTAATCTTCGATTTTAAGAAATAGTATTTCAGAATGAAAAACCAAAATCATTTTCTATTTTAAACTTAAAATTGAAAATTCAAAGACGAAACCGAATTAGCCCATGCTTAGTTCTCGGTTTCTGAATGTTGGAAATTAAACATAATTCATGAATAATGAAAAAAATTAAATTTGATACATGAATTAGATTATTTAATATTCATGCATTTATTTAAATCATGTATCCAAATGTTTCTTTGTATCATATTATTCATAGTATGTAGGAAAAGTCATTAATTACTCTATTAAGTTCATACAATGTATTTGGGATCCTTTGTACCTATAAAAGGCCTTGCGTTTTAGACATTTTATAAAGCCAAGCCATGTAATACAAATATTTTTTGAGAATTCTATGAATTTTTCTATCTAGTCTTTTTGGGTTATGGGTTTAAGGTTTGGGGTTTTTTTTTTTTTTTTTTGGGACAAATACCACTAGTGTGGCTTATTTTATAATATAGGAAATGAGAATACACATAAAGGAGGGCGACATAAATCTGACCTCATGTAAGTGAAAAAAATTACAAATGTCTCAAACGAAGCGCAAATGACATTAAACGAAATGTGTCTAAAAAACTAGCGAATAATACTCAAGGGTATTCCCGAGGATAAATCTTTGGGTGATAGTACACCGTGCCCAAAAATTTCTCAAAAATGCTTGAAAATCGGGCTGCGACCCTGCCGTGGCCCGGATGCATCCTAGACGTGGCCTGCACACCGTATCCCAAAAATTGCCTAGAAATGCTTGAAAATCAGGCTGCATCCCTACCACATCCTGGACATGGCCTGCACACCGTGTCCTAGAAACTATCCACAAATGCTTGGAAATTAGGCTGCATCCCCGCAGTAGCCCCGACGCATCCCGAACATTGCTTGCACACCGTCTCCAAGAAAATGCGTAGAAATACGTGAAAATTAGGATGTGTCCCTGTAGCATCCTGGACATGGCTTGCACACCGTGCCCCCGAAATTGCCTAGAAATGCCTGGAAACCAGGCTACGTCCCTACCATGGCCCAGACATGGCCTGAACATGGACTGCATACCGAGTCCCAAAAATTGCCTATAAATGATTGAAAATTAGGCTACGTCCCTACCACCGCTAGGAATTGTCCCGGACGTGGCTTGCACACCGTGCCCAAAAACTTCCAGAAATGCCTGAAAATCAGGTTACGTCTCTATCGTGACCCGGATGCGTCCTGATCATGGCCTGCACACCATGTCCCAGAAACTGCCTAGAAACACCTGAAAATCCAGTTGCGTCCCTAACTCATCCTAGACATGACCTACACATCGTATCCCAAAAACTACCTAGAAATGCTTTGAAATCAGGTTGCATCCCTACCACAGTCCATACGCGTCCCGAACATTGCTTGCACACCGTGTTAAAATTGCTTCACTCAAAAATATTATCTCATTTTTGCCCGTCATGTTTTTCCTATGTGTTCTTTCTGAAGCAACAGAGTTCGTAGTGGGCTGTGAAAATAATTTATGGGTAGTTCCATCTTCTATTGACGAGTTCAACAAATGGGCTAAGAAAACTCATTTTTAGATTGGGGATTCATTAGTTCTGAAGTATAATTCCAAGACTCATTCAGTGCTCGAAGTGAACGAGGAAGACTACAAAATCTGCAACAACGCCAATCTAATAAAATCACACAATGATAGAGAAACTACAATTCCACTAGAAAAATCATGTCTATTTTTCTTCATCGGTGGAGCTGAAGAACATTGCCAAAAGGGTCAAAGGCTAGAGGTTATGGTTCTATCCGAAAAAATGGCTCCGGCCACCAACTACAACGCAGGCACCTTCTTCTCATCATCACCGTCACCACTACCATGCATTGACGCCAACCCCGACTAATGGTAGTACTAGTTTGAAGGCGACGGTGGGGTTTATTTGTGGCACTACGATGGTGGAAAGTTTGTTTTTATTGTGTAGAATAGTTTTATTACTCATGGGTTGTAACTTTGAGCTACATCTTATTTTTATTATTCTTTGTCACGTATATATTACTTGTTTTTGATTCAAAATTAATTAAAAAAACCCTAAAACCCAAACCCAGAAACTGTCTAGAATTGCCTGAAGATCAGGCTGCATCCTTGCCATGGCCATGACGAGTCCCAAAAATTGCCTAGAAATGCCTGAAAATCAGGCGGCGTCCCTGTCCCTGTCAGGATGCATCCCGGACTTGGCCAGCACACCGTACCCACAAACTGCCTAGAAATGCCTGAAAATCAGGCTGCGTCCCTACCTGGCCAAGAGGCGTCTCGGACATAGCCGGTACATCGTACCCAAAAACTACCCGAAATTGCCTAAAAATCAGGCTCTGTCCTTGCCCTGGCCATGACGCGTCCCGAACATATCTTGCACACCATGACCCAGAAACTGACAAGAAATGCCTGAAAATAGGCTGCGTCTAGGACATGGTCTGCACACCTGTAATATCCCGAACTTCACGTTCTACATTTTGCCAATATGATTCATGTATTCCATGCTAATTACATTGTCATTTACATTTCACATTGAGCTATGATAGAAAATTAGGTTAACTAGATGTTCAAGATTAGCTTGGTAAGTAATGGAAATTGAAAAGGTCGGAAATTAGTATCGACAAAAGTTCAAGCTTTCTATTCGATTGTTCGAGGTCACATTAAACCCTAGATAGGTAATTGACATATTTGGGACATGAGAGATAAAGGGACATGATCATGACGTGATAATATATGTCTCATATGATGTTATAAATACTGAGGTGCGAATTATGGAAATTAATCGAGAATCGGGTATCAATCGCGTAAGTAATTAAATGAACGGTTGAGGAATTATTCTATAAAATACTTTGGGATCTTAGGACAAGTGAAATGGATTGTAAACACATCAAAATAAGCAGAGGATACTTGGTTTGTGCCTGTAAAGATAGATATAAAATCAGATTTTTGCTACAAGTGACCAACTCATGCTTGAACACCTCGCGCTTGGGATGTTTGTCATTTTAGCACTCAATTCCTTCAACCTTAAGGCATAAATCTCATGTATACTCCCTAAATACTTAATATAGGATAGATATATATATCTTAAAAGTCACAAATGAATCCAAATATAATGGTTTAAAGTCAAGTATTGCTGCCATGAAGACACCTCATGCTAAGAGACCTCATGCTTGGGGTATTTTAACATTTTAACACTCAATTTCTTTAACCTTAAGGCATGATCTCTTGTAGGAGGGATATATATATCTTATAAGGCTTAAAAAAATCCAAATATAGTGGTAGAGAGGTCAAATATTACAGCAAGAAGCCACCACCTGCTTAGTGACTCACCTTGATGTGGCTTCAGCCCATAAACTCCTTAATCCTTAAGCAATAAGCACGACCTCAACTATTTAAAGACCACTTATCTACCTCCTAGATAATATGTTAACTCCATTATCTTGCATCTAAGTGATTCGAAGTGAAAAAGAGAGTGAAAGAACCAAAGAGAAATAGAAACAGCAAGCTCAAATTTCTAGACAGCCAAGTCACTTCAAAGTTTTGAGGTTTGTATCCATTATTTCTTGAGGCGTTTATAATTTCTTGAACATATGAACTTGCTTTTTATTAGGTTAGAGTGTTTTTAATGATTTCATGATGCCAAAAATGGGGGTAATTAGTTATAAGAATTTGAAAGAAAGCAATCTGTGCAGTGATGTGGAATTGCTAGAGTTAAGTGGTTTAAACTTTGATTTTGGATAATACTTAAGATATAACTTGTATATATGTAAATGAATGTTTTTACATGATAGTTATGAGGATATAAATGGCCTTATAATAGCTTGAAATCCGATTGGTAACATGCTAATAAAATAGAAACCGAAAACTGTCATAATGGAAAACTGTCTGATTTTAGTGTTGTGGAAATGGAATATTTTGAGGCTGAGAACACTTTAATTGTCATGGATTTAGAGCATGGTTACCTTCATATACATGTTATAGAATTTTGGTAAAAATTTCAGAGTCATTGGATAGAGATAAGGGGGTGAAAAGGGATTGGAAAAATAATTGGACGGTAAGGGAAATCTGAAAACAGATTCTGTCCAATTTTGTGTTTAATATGATTTCATCCTTTATATGTGCATTAATCATCTCTTGGGCCTAGAAAATAGATTCTGAGGGTACTAGGTTGTCAACAACAATTGGATGATGTTGACGTTCATAATTTGACTTGAGAAATAGCGAGATTTGTGGGATAAGTTTGTAATGCCATCGGTAGCTTGAAATGATGATTCCGTCTAAATTATTTTGGTGAGAATGGATGTATTTGGGGATTTTGTGCGTTAAGATTATTAAATTGAGGATTCTCTTTAATATTAAATGGTAATACAGGTGATTTTCTGACTTCGAGTCAAAAAGGATATTGATCTAATCTCCATAGGAGCTTGCGCACACAAAGGTGAAAGGTAAGTGAAAATCCATTTGCAACTACAATGCAAGAACCTAGTATATGTGACATAGTAATGTTGAAAAATCTACATAACTTTGATAAGAGGCTTATAGCACATCATATGGTGGTTACAATCATTGAGTATGAGGTTGTGTAACCTATTGACATCGATTTTCATTAAATACGTCATTTATGAGCATTTTCATATGCATGCACGACATGTAACATGGTTGAAAATCCTACAGGCAAAACATGATTTCAAAGTGAGTTTCATTATAAATGTTTTATTGACCACTACTAGGGTACCGAGGCATGTGAGGCATGCTTATGTGATATGTTTGGCATTACGGGTGTTACTTCCTAGGTGATTGCAAAGGTAGATAGGGGATGGACCTTTGGTGATCAAGGGAGGGCGAACCACTTGGCTGTGCCCTTGTGATATTATGATTATTGGTGCTATCGGGTGGGAGACTTCTTGGGTGATCATAGGGGAAGTCAGGGGATGGGCCTCTAGTGGTCACGAGAGGATGGTCCACTCGTCGGTGTCGATTTCATATTGCTCATTTGATTATTGATATTTATATTATGCAGAGCTTTATCTGGTGCATAGTAGGTGGGTCAAGGGCCCAATGAAATGAAAGATTTCAAGTGAAATGATTTCTAGTCGACTTTGACGAATATTAAAATATGATACTTTTTATCGTGATATTTAAAGTAAATGGCATAGTGTCATATGTCGTTATTACTCATGTTCAAGACATGCATGATTTTGCTTACTAAGCATTGGCTTATGTATTTCTTGCATTATAGGTGAGCATGGAACTACATAGAGAGCATGGCTAGCTGTGGAGCTCCTACAAGATTCCAGAGTTCGATGTACATGGATGACAGCCTGTAGGGTCATTTTGTAGGCTGCTATCTGTTGGGTTATATTTTGGAATCCTATATAGTGTACTTTTGAAATGACTTGTAGACATGTTTATAAGCTCAAAACATATATGTTGGATTATGGCGATATGATTTTGGGTTTCGATATGTTATATGATCGTGTCACAGGTGATTAGAAGTTAACAAACTCGAAAAATATATATATATATATATATATGTAAAATTCTATATCTGGGTTTTGTATAGATATCAATGTTAATTTGGGGGCGTGACAACACCGTACCCAAAATCTCCCCAAAAATGCTTGAAAATCAAGCTCTGTCCCTGCCATGGCCCGGACGCGTCTTGGATATGACCTGCACACCATGACATAGAAACTAACGAGAATTGCGTGAAAATTAGGCTACGTCTAGGACATAGCTTGCACACCGTGCCCAAAAACTGTCCAGAAATGCCTGAAAATCAGGCCCCATCCCTGCCTGGCAAGGAGGCGTCCTGGACATGGCCTATAAACCGTGCCCAAAAACTGCCCAAAATTACCTGAAAATAGGCTCCGCCCCTACCGTGGCCCGAATGCGTCTCGAACATGACCTGCACATCGTGACCTAGAAACTGACAAGAAATACCTAAAAATCAGGCTGTGTCTAGGACATGGCTTGTACACTGTGCCCAAAAACTTCCTAGAAATGCCTGAAAATCAGGCTGCATCCCTGGTGTGGCCCGGACGCGTCCCGAACATGGCCTACACCTAGTGTCCTAGAAACTGCCTAGAAATGCCTGAAAATTAGGTTGCGTCCATGCCGCTTCCTGGACATGGCCTATACACCGTGTCCCAAAAACTGCCTAGAAATGCCTGGAAACAGGCCCTATCCCTGCCGCGGCCCAGACGCGACCTGAACATTGCCTGCACACCGTGTTCCAGAAATTGTATAAAATAACTGAAAGTCAGGATTCATCCCTATCGTAACCTAGAGATGGCCTGCACACCATGTCCCAGAATTACTAAAAATTGCCTAAAAATTAGGCTCCATCCCTGTCGTGGTCATGACGCGTCCCGGACATAACCTGGACACCGAGTCCTAGAAATTGTCAAGAAAAGACAGAAAATCAGGCTGCGTCTAGGACATGGCCTACACACCGTGCCCAAAAACTTCCTAGAAATGCCAGAAAATTAGACCGCGTCCCTGCTGTGGCCCGAAAGCGTCCTAGACATGGCCTGCACATCGTGTCCCAGAAACTGCCCAGAAATGCTAGAAAATTAAGTTGCGTCCCTATCGCATCCTGGACATGGCATGCACACCATGTCCCAGACACTACCTAGAAATGTCTGAAAATCAGGCTGCATCCCAGCAGCAGTCCTGTTACGTCCCAAACACTGCCTGCACATCGTGTCCAAGAAATTGTCTAGAAATACGTGAAAATCAGGACGTATCCCTGTAGCATCCTAGACATGGCCTGCACATCGTGTCCTAAAAATTGCCTAGAAACGCCTGGAAACCAGGCTGCATCCCTACCGTCCTGTCGCATCCCGGACATTGCTTGCACATCATGTT